TAAAATATTAATTAAAAATATTATAGTAAAAATATGCATAACAGAGGATGATAGAGATGGTTTGAGTATATTTATGATTTTGATTAATTTGTAAAATAAATATAGTAAATAATTAAATAATGCTAAAAATTATGGTTAACAAATTTAGACAATGAACTAAGCATTTATATTGGTTTGTCTTTTAAAAGTACTGTATTAATTATTATAACATATAAATTATTTTATAACAAGCAAAATCTTAAAATTTACCGCGCATCGCGCGGGTACCTATACTAGTTAGACTATAATAATACGTAAGGGGAAGGGATAGTGATGTATGAGCTTTTTGACTTTTCAAGGAAAGTGAACGGTCAAATCACTCTAATAGTTTGTTTGGCCAAGCTGGAAAACAGTGTATTTTGAGAAGTATTTTTTTTGAAAAGAATTTTTTTCAAAAGTATTTTTAGTGAAAAACAGTTTGTGTTTGGCTATTAATTTTAAAATTACTTCTAAGAAGTAATTTATGTTTGGCCAAACTTTTAAAAAGTGCTTCTAAATGTATTTTTCTCAAAAAAATGCTTCTGAGAAGATAATTTTTTATGCTTCTCCATAATTGCATCTGGTTCTACTCAAAAACACTTTTTTTTCTTCTAAAAACTTGGTCAAATACTTCAACTTTGAAAAAAAAGTATTTTTTTTTTTTAAATAAAAGTGCTTCTCAACTCGGAGAAACTTTGCCAAAGAGACTATTAGACGTTTATATATTCTTTTTCCACCGTATTTTGGCCTTGGTTCTGAAGTAGCTTTCGGATTTCCATGGAGGGGGACAGGCAGACTCATAAGCCTCCTGCTGTTAGGTAATTATAGGTCACATATCACTCTCCCACTCCTTTTGTTAATGCTGATTATTATGGTTAAGTGTTGTTCAGCTCTGGTCAGACTCTCATTACCGCAAACGGAAAAAAGAGAATTAAGATGCATATTTTTGGTTTTTCCTCTTTATTATTATTAATGTTAGAAAGGCAAGTGACGAAGGTGGTTTACACTTTCTTGATAACTTCTCTTCATTAATTTTATTTCCTTTTTCCCTAACTCATGATAGATACACTCCTATTTGATTGTTTACTCTAAAATTCGAGTAACATTTAAATTTATATTGTGGTTTTAAAGATATGTGATTTAATCCAATACCAATTCATAAAGAATGAGTTAAATAGTATATAAATTGAAGAAATAAAGCAAGTCAAACCAGTGTCCAAGCCAAGTCTTGACCTCGAGTTATGATAGCCTCGAGGTAAGTTAGTAAGAACAGCAAATATTATAAGGCAACTCTGATGAATAGTAAACAAGAAAGTGAAGAATGTATATTCCTTTGTCAATGAGTCGTCCGTTACAAGTGAATGGGATCTCTTTTATATAGTAGGGGGTCCCAAATAAGATACACTTCTAATTATAGTAGGGAATTTTATTAGACAGCTGTCGAACCGTCAAGTACAAATCTGTTTCGAAATTTACGCCAGGATCTTCGGGCCATTACGGGAATCTCGCTCTTTCTGTTACTAAACCATAACGGTATTATCTTGAGGTTGGTCATACTCGGCCTTGGTCTTCACCGAGCACTTCGGTCTTCAAGTTCTTTACTCCGCCATCGGGCTCGAGCCATGTCCATTATGAGCTTTTTCTCAAAGCAACTCCCCGAGCCTATGAAATCGAGCATATACCTGATTTCGACTGTATACATTGATAAAGATGTAAAAGAAAAAACTATATTATTAAATTTTGTAATGAGAGGACAAACTCTAGCTTCAAGTTAGCAAACATTTCATGACGGAGTTCAGATCCGTATGGTTTGGAAAAGGAAAACCCATATGATTACGTTGGGCACAAGATATTAAACAAAGAGCATGTTAGGTTTGTAGACTTGGCGTATGCAATCTTAATCAAGAACGATATTAACAGCGTATTTAAATATAGAAAAATGCTGCTTACAATATGCTCCACTAGTTAGATTACAAAATGGCAAAAGGTCTATTTTCTTACAAAGTTGGTGAAGCTTTTGGCACTTTCCTTCTCATGACCTTCCTACTTTAACTACTTATTTTATACTACCTCTTTTTTGTTTGGTTGGGGGGGAGGGGGGGGGGGTTACAAGTGGAGGCAACACTTGCAAAATTTAGTCACACCAAATAATACCGTCCCTTAATTTATGAGTATGCACCTCTTTTTTCTTTTTTAAAGAAAATTGGATCCAAATAGTACTAATGGTTCCTTTGTTTTCATCCTTTTTTTTAGGATCTTCGACTATTTGCCGAAATAGAAAATTATTGACCAAATGCCTTAGCACTTTTTCATCATCTAATACTGCTTTTAGGTAGTGTAAACTATTGATAAATATTTTTGGTTTTTGACAAACACTAGTAGGCGCGCACGCACACATATAATTAGGTCGGTTAATTAGTGTAGGAGAATATTAGTGGTTTCTTCAATACTAAACAAATCTAACATGAAAAGAGATTGATCCAACTAATTGGACAAGTTTTGTTTACCACTAACTTTGTACTCATAAATATTGCAATTTCAATTGTAAATTCTTGTTCTCAATATGAATAAACTAATTTTAATTTGTATTTAACTGACAATTTACATTTATAATATATATTCTACTCAAAGTAATGGGACACGGCAGGAAGGCGATGTCTTTTATATTTGATGGAGTCTATTAGTGCTAACGAACTTTTCTAAATCAAACGGTCCTAAGAGAAACCATAGGACTCAATGTAGACCTATAAAAATAAGCCCAAAACGCGCCAGAGACCTCTCACCACCTAATTAATATCCTCTTTCAACACTAATTTCATTCAACTCAAGCTCCTATACACCACCAAACTATACAAACAACGTAACCTTCCCCTCCTCTCCCCTCTTCCTTAATTTTCTTCTATCTAACGAAGACACATACAGAGAAACGTAGGAGCTGAGGGAGAGAGGAGGACGCCATAGCCATGGCTTCTGAATTGTTCTTCAGAGGACAGGAAACTCACCATATAATCAACGCATACACTCCCAAACCACGGAAGCCATGGCAAAACGTAATTCGACCTGTACGTTACATGCTCAAAGAGAAACGCCTTGTCTTCCTTTTTGCAGGTATTGCCATCGCTTCTCTTATATTCGCTCTGTCACCCTCTTCACGTGCTCCCTCCGGTCAGGGCAGTTACAGTTACGTTAACAACGCGATCTACGATTCCCACTTGCCCTCCGAGTCAACTCAGTCTCACAGCATTGCACGCGCTCATCGGATCATCTACCAGAACCGGGCCGGGATCGGGTCGTTACATTCTGGCGGGAAAATCCCGTTGGGTTTGCAGCGTAAGGGGTTGAGGATCCTGGTGACCGGTGGGGCCGGGTTTGTCGGCAGCCATCTCGTGGACCGTTTGATCGCCAGAGGTGACAGCGTGATCGTCGTTGATAATTTCTTCACGGGGCGGAAGGAGAACGTGATGCACCACTTTGGGAACCCGAGGTTCGAGCTCATAAGGCACGATGTGGTGGAGCCATTGTTGGTGGAGGTTGACCAGATCTACCACCTCGCTTGCCCTGCCTCTCCTGTTCACTATAAGCATAACCCCGTCAAGACCATTATATCCTTTTCTTCATTATTCATATTTATTGGTTTCTATTTAATTCCATTATATTCTTCTTCTGTGTTTATATATTTATTTGGTAAAATTAGAAAATTTGGATTCCTTGATTCTAGCTGCTCACAAGACAAATGTTGTTGGGACATTGAACATGCTTGGATTGGCCAAGAGAGTGGGTGCTCGATTTTTGCTAACGAGCACCAGCGAGGTTTATGGTGATCCGTTGGAACATCCACAAAAGGAGACTTATTGGGGCAATGTTAATCCCATTGGTCAGTCTTCTAATTAAGTCCTCACCTAGTACTACTTTTGTTATTTGTCTCTGTTAAATACTTACTTATCTATTTTGGAATTGTAATTGGCTTAATAAAAACAAATTTATTATGTGATGTGTCTGAAAATGCGGATAGGCTAATTATCTGGCTTCTCTGTTTTGTTGTTTTCAATGTAAAACTGTAAAAATGTTGAGATGTGTCATGTATTGTCAGGTGTGAGAAGTTGCTACGACGAGGGGAAGCGTACAGCTGAAACGTTGACTATGGACTATCACAGAGGTGCTGGCGTTGAGGTGAGGATCGCTAGAATATTCAACACCTACGGGCCTCGTATGTGCATCGATGATGGTCGTGTTGTTAGCAACTTTGTTGCTCAGGTGAACCTTTTTCAACTGACCACATTTTATATAATGTATCACCTAGGGTGTTTCCCACCACTCTTAAGAAGAAAGATGTTATAGGTCACCCTAAACATTGTTTCATATTGCAATACAGGCCTTGAGGAAGGAGCCTCTAACGGTTTATGGCGATGGAAAGCAAACAAGAAGTTTCCAATTTGTTTCAGACTTGGTATGTCAATTTTGGATTCATACACATATTGCTCTATGTTTACGTTTTCAGCCTTTTACTGCCTATCATTCAAAGATAAGTATAGAATAAATAAATAATGGGGTATGATTTTTGTTGTTTGTGAAAGGTTGAGGGCCTAATGCGCTTGATGGAAGGAGAACATGTGGGACCTTTCAACCTAGGAAACCCCGGTGAATTCACAATGCTTGAACTTGCAGGGGTAAGTTACTTGATGCATAACATCTTTTTCTGTTGTCAAGTTTTGGACTTTACAGAATTTTGTATATACTTTGTTATTCATGTTGCAGGTGGTCCAGGAAACCATTGATCCAAATGCGCAGATTGAGTTCAGACCCAACACAGCAGATGATCCACACAAGAGGAAGCCTGATATCTCAAAGGCTAAAGAATTGCTTGGTTGGGAACCAAAGGTGCCTCTTAGGAAAGGTCTACCTATGATGGTACAAGACTTTAGGCAACGTATATTTGGTGACCACAAAGAAGATAGCTCCTCTGTCTCCTCCGCGTAATAGGGTTTTCGGAACTTTATTTTTGGTCAAAGGGCGAAATGCAGTGCAGTAGAAGAAGATGACCTGTTGTTTATGTTCTTTCAGTACAGCAAAATGTCCTTGGCAGAAGTCAGAGCTCTTGGTCCTTACATGGTTTAATAGGTCTTCATATAAGTCTGTCAATTTTGTATTTCGATTTATTCCATTTTAACAATTTTGTTGTAAACCTATATTATGAAAATAAATAGCTGACAATTTTTCATCCAATGGGACTGACAAATTCATCGGCTTTCCTGATCATCTTCATAGAAACTGGTTACTAAGGCAACACTAAATGGGCAAAGAGAAGAGCTTGTCTTTAAGTTTAGCTCGGAGTTTGAGAGGAAATAAATGCTATGCCAGTTCCTGATCTAAACTAGTACAGTAGGGGGTTGATTTGTATAGCTTGTATTGGTTTATTTCATGGGTTTTCCTCATTCTCTGCTTCCTGTTAACTCATTGTATTTGGCTTCTAAAATCTCTGGAGCAAGCACTACACTTAGAGAGGTCAAGAATGAAAGGATTCAAAGTAACAAAACTTCAAGTTCCGACAGGTTGATGGTATGCAACAAGACAACAAAGAGAATAGGCATTTGCTTCGCGTGATTGTATGCAACAAGACAATAAAGAGAATAGGCATTTGCTTCGCATGCATCATCTACTTAGACAAAAAAATCATCTCAAATTGAAATGCACCAATCACAGACTACAAAAAAAAAAATATGATAGAAGAAAAGCTCATCTCATATCAGCATATCTGAGCTAAAGAGCCTAGACAAGCACTCAAGATCGCACTAACTATTAGAACGAAGATGAAAAGGACAATACCACAGCTCTAAAATGCATATTGCTTGACTAGCGATAAATTTGATGAGCATTCAGCAAATTTGATCAGTTTTGTTCCTTGACCACTATTTACATGAAAATCCATCTCAGTGGAACCAATCAGCAGTATTATTCTTGTTACCTTACACACATGTAAAAGAAGAACACAGATTCCTTATGCTTCCTTGAGTTGGGGGTACATTGATCTATGAATTACATGTTCAGGAGACACAATTTCTCCATTCACACGAAGTTGTTCCAGGAAATCCATCCGCAGTGACTTGAACTGATAGTGCTGCAGTAAAATATAACATGTGAACAGATGAGAAGAAAAAGAACTTTCAATAACAAAATACAGTGTCATCACATGCAGAAAACAAAAGATTACAAGAATGACTGTTATGTTAGCAATCTATTGCAGTGAAAAAAGGGCACAGCGATGTTCCAATCACTTCGTTCAAATTCTCAATTGGTGCAAATATTAGCAACATCATTGTTGTGGCCACAATCTGGTTTTGGCAATAGGAGAAAAGTTGATTAGAACTAAACCACCAATCAGTGCCTGTGATATGTATGCATTTGACTGCACCAACAGTTCAAGTTGCCAGGACGGGGAAGTAACTAGGAGTGTGAAGAAAGAGAGTTGGTATAGCCTGGGTAGAAATGGGTAAATCTACCAACTCTGTATCTAAAATGTAGCTGCAAAGACAAATCCAGTTATCCTAGCGGACCTAGTTATACTATTTTAACATTAAAAATTACCACTAGTAGGAGGTGTCCTCCGAGAAGGGGAGAAAAAGAAATATTAAGCAGACAATAAAACAAAAAAGGAGGTCATTTAAAATGGAGCTGACATGTGAAACGTTGACATACACACCAATAAAAGGCTTTTGTAGCAGCTTATATATAACTTTCGAATTAGAGCAAATATTTGAGACGTATTGAAGTAAAGAAAAACCAAAGCAGGAAGTAAAGAAAAACCAGAGCAGCAATGGATAGAAAAGAAACAGAGATTAAAATGATCGAAGGTTACCTTTCCTCTCGATTCAAAATCAAAGATATGGTAGAAAGGATCCAATAGTGTGACCTGATCTTCTTCTTTGATCTGACAACAGTATAGTTTATAATGTTATATTGTGAGAATCTAAGGGTCTTATAATATGAAAATCTAACGGGAAAACTGAGCAACTGAACATCAGCAAGTGACTCGAACAGGTATTCTCATTACTCAATGCATACTAATCTACTCTTTGCTCTCTCGCAAACAAGAAAATAGGTTTTGTAAAGTCAATTTTTCTTTGTCTCTTCTCTCTTTCTTCTCTCTTTTTCCTTTTATGATTTATATAATCTCTTTATTCTGCCCAAGCACCATGCTACTCTTATATAGCAGAATTTAAGGAAGTCACAAAATTATTATCCTAATCAACAATCGAGTTGGATGGACACGTTGGATTTAAAATCAGTTCTTCAGTATAAAGAGACTTTAGTGGGATACAAAGGGCAATCTTTTCTCATTCTGAATCTCTTATTTAATGGAGCAAATACTGGAGGAAGTCTGCAAAAAATTACACTTCCAATTTTCTGTACATTATATTCAAAGTGTGTAGCTCACTGGTATTCAATAGTATTATAACTCCCTTAGTAATATTTTTCTTCCAAGAAAAGAAAGTAGAAGAGAGAAGATCACTAACTGTCAGATATGGTTGCCTAGTATACTTAAAAACGATTGCAGTTTTTCGTCAGCTTAGACAAAATTAGACAAATGTGGTAACAGAGATTAAACCAAAGGTGTCACTTACTGCAGTGCTGCGTATGCCATAAACAGTAATCACAAAGCACGTGCGGTCAGAATCACAGACAACATAGTATCTGCAGATGAAGAGTAGAAGCTGAGACAAAAAAAGAAATAATGCTGCAGTCGGGAAGCTCTGTCGCTTAAATTTCACTTCCCAAGAGAATACTGGAAAGGAGAAAAATGACAACTGAACTGCTGTAGATTCTTCTAAGGTGAGGTAACTTACATTGGAATTTCACTCGGATTCTTAACTAAAAACAGAACTTTTCCTGTGACTGCTTTGCTTAGATTAGGACCTTCAATTAGGCGGTTCACAGTAGCTTTCTCATATATAGGATTCACTACAAGAAAGTATTTGCCCAATTTAAGGATAACAAGCTTAATCCAATATCACCCTTTTTTTTAAAAATTATCTAAGACGCATATAAAGCTTACAATCAACAGAAGCAAGTGATGATGCTAGCGATTCAACAGCAGGAAGCGATGATGTTGGAGAACCATTCAGATCCTGAAAGACAGGATAGAGTTATTCAACTACATCCTTCATAATCTCATGCATAATAGATGAGGCTAAAGGCGTCAGAAGTGGTAGACATAAACAAACTCAATATCTAATGCATGAGATGTCAATGCTGTTTTCTCTTGCTTTAAAAAATGAAGACCAGCAGTAAGGTCAGTATATTCTTACATAGGGACTCATTAAGCTTATTAAGTGGGTAAGACGATTTGATTGATAGAGAAAAACTCCTTTGTCTTATGGACGTAACATACTCAGTGCATGAATATTTTCTTGGAATTAGTACCTTCAACCTTTTTGTAGTACTTAATTATTGTGTCTTGGTAGATTTCCCTTTTCCCTTTTACTTTTTTTTCTCCTGGCTATGGTGACACTTGTCAAAGCCAAAACTTGCAGATATAGAGCAACCTTTTTGTAGTACTTTTCAAAGCCAAAACTTGCAGATATAGAGCAGCACTTGAAAGCATCTCAAGATACAAATATCATGTTGTTAGGACGTGAAACACATCCACAGTATATGCATGTAATTCTGATGATGCAATAACTCAAGCTTGAGTTCCACACTTGTGACAGACAATATACGTGGATCATTAGTCATTATAATCCTTTAATAGGAAGATTCCCTAACTGGGAGCTTCACTGCTTCAGATTTTGAAAAATCAATGATGAATCAGATGTGATCTCATGGATTATGGCACCTTAACCAGCTCTTTTAGGCTAATATTGTTTGCTGAGACTTAACATAATTCTCTTAGAATTCTATTGCAGTCTATCATGAATTTCTTAATGTCTCCCAACTGAACAAAGAAAATATGACTGCAAATAGTTTAAAAGAAATAGCCACAATTAAATAAACTTACCTGAAGGAAAGAGTTTATTCCCTCAAGAATCTCATACAGATTAAATGCTTGCTCTAGACCATTAAGATCAGGATCCAGTAATTCAGCAGCTTCAAATCCAGAAAGGGCCGTCTCATAGTCCTCAAAATACTTGTACGTCTATAGAACCAAATCATAGATTCACCAAAACATTGTATTGAGATTTGAGAAGGAAGAAAGTGCAAACAACATGATACAAGCAGACGTGAATTGTGCTGGTGAAGAAAATAGATGCTTTCTTTGAAAGTCTCTTGTCCTTTCTTAACTATGCATAAAATGCTCAAGGTGCGAAAGCAGAATGATAATCAAGAGATTTTGCTATTTAGTTTGCTTTTAGCAGGCAACAATCAGTCTTGCATTAAATCAAAGTGAATCTAGAGAGCCTTTCCTTACATGCTTCCACGAACCTTCAAGAAAATCTCAGGTACACATAATTTATGTGCTAGAACAATTAGAACGAGAATTGGCTAATAGCCTTACCATCGCGCAGTTGTAACACATGTGAGAACTGAGCTTCATCCTCTCATCTTTCAGCTGAAACAGAACACAAATTTAGAGTAGGCTATGAGTAAAATATGTAGACCTAAAACTGCAAAACAACCTTAAATGTTACGGAGTCAATAAACAAATTAAATATGAAGCTCATGAGAAAAATTAGAAGAGAGACTGCAGAATGTCCCATGAGGAAAATGATAAAAGGGAGACGACGGAGTAGTCATATTGTGAGGAAGCTTTAATGCCAAGGTAAATTGGCGAGATGCATACTCACAGCATTCTTGTATGCTTTTAGTGACTGCAGAAGCATATTAATGTCCCAACATCCCGTCACAAAATAGGCAGTGAGACATGCGTTTCCTAGAATGTCTGCCAGAAAAGATGAAAGATCATTAAAGAAACCCGAGTTTAAATGTAACCAAATTTTGGTAATGGATAATCAATCTTCTCATTTCACATAGCAGGACACCAAAATAACTGTGCTTATAAGTGAAATATAACATGCAATTTGCAAGACAAGTACAAATTTTATGATGCTTTTTATGTTCATATTCAAGAACATAGGTAGTTTCTGTTCCTTCAATTTTTAAGTCTTGTACAAAGTTCTAAATTATAGCATAGTATATGGCAAGTAGAGGGGGTCTCAGTACAAAAAAGCAGTCTTACACCATGATATTCCATCCTGGATATCCAGAGCGATTGCTTCCTTGACATGTTTGATACAGTCGTTAATGATTTCTACTGGATTCTCAACCTCTGAAAAGTAGAATATTACAATAGGTAATCCGAAATAGCGTAATCAGAAATAGCATTGGGAACTTCGAAAAAATGTCAGTATTATTACAGATTTAATCCCGAAATTAAGGTTAAAAATGTGAATACAGTTACTATAGATTCTTGCTGGTATCAAAATCAAAATGCTACGAGTTCTTATTGCTTGTAGCTACAGATTTATAATATTTACCTGTTTCGCTTATGGACTGTCTTCTTTCAAGCACTGATAATTGAAGTAATAGTTGCTTATTATTCGGATCCTGAAGACAATAAATACAATTAAATCCATTACTTCAGAAATTTCGGAGAGTAAAGAAACTTAAAACTCAAGAATTAAGCAGCATGCATAAAATGACGGCACCTGTTCAAGGCCAGAGTTGAAGCAACTTTTAGCTTTATCCAGATCTCCTCTCTTCCAAACACAAGTTCCTAGGCATATCCACGCATCCACCACAGAGGAATTCAACTTAACCTATAACAGAAATCCACCGATCGATAAGAAACGAAAGAAATCGGAAAAACAAAAATAGTAGCATGCATAGAAATTTTTTTGACTCACAGCATCCGTCAGAAGACGCTCTGCTTCCTGATTATAAGCAGGAGATACATCCAGTAGTTTTCCTCTCAAATACAAGTACATTGCTGCCTCATCTTGCGATTCTCTCTTTTCTAAGAATTCAACATAGAGACAAATATGATTCAGACCAAAATACTAATCATATCGTGTTAAAACAGAATTTATTGCATGCATCTGAATTTAGAAACTCGGAATTCAACACATTCTTCTAAGATTCGATTACCTATAGGAATTGCGTCGAGTTTTTCGAGAGCGTGTTCGATTTGGTCCTTCAATAAGTCGATTTTTTCCTGGTAGCTTGGCAGGGCAAAGTAGTGACCGCGAAATTCATCAATGAACTTTGCAACTTCAATCACCTCTGCAAACACGTTCTCTGAACTGCTCATTTTCAGCGATGGAGAAAAACGAAGTTGAAGTTGAAATGTATGGAATGGAAGCTTCTCAATACCGAATGAAGTTCAATGGAAGAAGAACTGGGGTAGTTATACGGTTATGAAAAGAGTTCACGCTCCGTTCGCCTCAAATTTTTGGAAATTACATCCTCTACCCCTTAATATTTTCTGTTATGATTCTTTGACCCCTTAATGTTTTAAACATTTACTTAAAAATACCGTCCGTTTTTCTTCTACTTTAACTGCTATGAAATCCTCATTTAATAAGTACACTAAACATGTACAATATTTGATATTGTACTTCAATATTTTATTAAATCAGCTTAATGATTATATGACTTGCGTGATATTTAATACCCCATATTTAGAATTTCACCGTCTATATATATACATTTCATGTCCTTGTAAAATGGAGTTTGATATTCCATATTTATTAAAGTTCGATTATTTCGACCTGACACGATGTTTGTGTTTGAATTCGTTAAAAAGTTATATTCTTATCACACTCTCTCTCCCGTACTATTTTAAAGAGTAGTTTATTTGGCAGTGAGCAAGTCTTAACATAGCTTTACAAATCCAGAAGGCTGAATTGTGCCCAATTTTCTGCTGTTGTTTTATATATTTCTGTCATTATTTTCCAACTTCTATAAATTATCGTCTCATGGAACATGAGTTTCATAAGAATTGCTAGACGAGCCTCGAGAGTTGAGTGCTATTAGGGGTACACAATTTGGCCACTAGACAAGTCCTAATCGTTGAGTTCTTAGGGAGTTAGGGTACACAATTAGACCATTAGACGAGCGTTGAGTGTTCTTAGGATGCACAATTAGAATACTCAGCGCGTAAATCTCATCGAACTAAGACCCACATGTGTGTCTCAGAGCATGTTGCCAGTGCCCCACCCAATGGCGAGTTCCATAAAGACTTTAAAAATACTACTTTAATATTTATTTTTAAAAGCAAAATGAAAAGAAAAAAAACTAAAGTAGAACTTAACCAAAAGCTTCGCAGAAACTACAACTTCAACTGAATTATGACATACCCTTAAATCTCTCTATTATAAAGTTTTTGTAACCAGTAAAGCTACTTGTAGTAAATTAGAAAAAGATTGTATTGGGAGTGAATTTGGTAAATAAAAGGAAGACTCTTTATTCCAGTAATATCATAATAACCTGTCATGCTTACAGATTTCTGTATTATGATAATTTTATTACTGTTTTCCTAAAATAATATGGAGAATATTTATTGAAATAGGAGCTCAAACGGGAGTACCGCCTTATAGTTCTAACAGGAATTAAGGAAATAGGGAAACTACCGGGGCCTAAGCGTAAAAAAATAAATATTTAATCTACCTTTCATAACAGCTTTTCCCATGCAGTTCCTCTTGCAAAACTTTTTCTTTTGGGTTAATGTATAAAACCCCCTAAAGTTGTCAATATTTGTAACCGACAAGGGTTTTTTCTTTACCCCTTAATCTTCAATTTTTTTCTATTTATTACCCCCTCTCCTGGAGTAGAAATGACATTGAGAGGAATTGACTCTCTCAGAGACGCATTTGAGCTTTAAAAATGCAGCGATGTGGTATTAGTGTTATTTTCAAGTGTTTTTTTTTTTTTTTTTTTTTTTTTTTTTTTTTTTTTTTTTTGCTTTCTAAATTTACCTATCTTCTTCATCCTTTTCTTCGCATTCTTTTTATTTCTTCGTTGTTCTTTTCTTATTTCTTTATACTTCTTTTATCCAATTTTCTTGTTTTATCTTTCAGTTCAAAACTCAGCAGCTCTTGTTGATAACAATAAACCAAACGGTTACATAAAAATCAATAAATCTATAATGATAAGAACACCAAAAGCTTACATTTACATTAATAACAATAACAATATTTTATAGGCAGAACCATGTCCATGACGCTTGCTCTTCTTTCTTTCTTTCTTTTTTTTTTTGGGGGGGGGGGGGGGGGGGGGAGAAAGAGATATTCTTAAGTTATTATTACGTTAGTTTGCTGACCGCCGTTCTCTTAAGGACTAAAGTTAGGAGCAAGAGACCATATAATTTAGTAATTCAAGGACCAAAATTGCAATTATTCTTGTGTTTTGTAAAATGATTTACGACAGGCCAATCACTTTCATGGAATTTGGATAAAAAATAGCAACTGTATCATTGAGGAAGTATAAGAATGAAACGGGACAAGGTACGAAGCCTCTAGTCTAAAAGGTAGACAGTATGCAACACGAATACAAAGAGAATAAAGCATTTGTTTAATTGTTCGCGTCCATTATCATCTACTTAGACAAAAAGATCAGATCAAATGGAAAATGCATTAAACACAAGACTAGAAAACAAATACTAGCACGAGAGAAGAATCGCTTGTCTCATGTTAGCACAACCTAGCTAAAGAAACTAGACAATCCTCCATGAAATTGAGATGGAGACGAAAAAGAATTTAAAAGAGATTCAGCAAGTTACATATCTAGATTTTACTCCCAATAAAATACTGTAATTCAAAAATAGGTAGATAAACCAACCTATGATCAACTCCATGCAACAGTCTCCTAGAGGATTATGATTGTCCTATAGGGATTAGGGGACATTTAGCTAGCGTTTGGCAATAGATCCCAAATTTGTTTTGAAAAATCTGATTTGGATGAAGTTTGATTTGAAGATGAAAATGTGTTTGGACATACGTTTTCAAAACATATTTTCTAACTTTATTTTGGTAAAACATGTATATAACTCCCAAGTTTTGGGATTTTGGCCCAAAATCAGCTCAATAGCTGATTTTGGGATTTGAAATTTGAGATTTGGGATTTGGTCAAAATATGGGCAAAATTTATAGCCAAACATGAGTTTTGAAAATAAATCCCAAATTTATTTTGGCAAAACTCATGACCAAACGGGGCCTTAAATTCAGATGTTCAAGTTGATAATCCAAGTTGGTGGTACGTACTTTTTAAATTAAGTTCGATACTACTTGGAGTTTGAAATTTTGATATATAATTTCATAGCACAATTTCATATTCTGTCAGTCTTAATCATGTTTAACCTATTCGTTAAGCCAAGTATCAACGTTTATTTAATCAGTTCATTGCTGACTTAAGAAGTGACCTTAATATCGACACGTGCAACTTCTGATTGCCAAAACAAATGTTAGTTATTCATATTAATAACTCAATCACATCCCTTTTAGTAACTTAGACCACGGAAAATAGTTACAATAGACTTCTGAAACAAAAAACAAACATATGGGAACTTGCAATCAAACTAACCAACAAAATAATGAAAACAAACAAATAATATGTGCATGGGATAAATATTTTTCATCCAACTCTAACCTGAATTTGACTTCCTAAAGTAACTTTTATGCGTGTGTCGTCGGCAACACGAAGATATTATAGTAGCCTTCCCTACAACTACTTGTCTATGATATTACAGATTTATAGTAGTCTATTTCTTTTCCTACAGACTTGTCTATTTTGCTTCTATTGGTTAGCAACTTAGCATTATAGCTTACAAATATTTTTATATAAGCATATAGCATCTAGTATATATCCTTAGGTGATGCATTTTTATGGTTCCATTTTTTGTTAGTCACATAGTATCTTTATTCCATGTGTGACTTCTTTGATGTTATCCCACATGACTTAAGAAATGAGTTATAATTTATAGTCTTTCTTTTTGCTTATGCATATTAAATTTCATCATAATTTAACGCATTTCAGATGGTCTGCTCTGATTGTCACAAGAGAGAAGATACCTAGCTTATAGGGGCTTATGGGGAATTGATTAATTAATCTAATAATATAATTCTGCAATATATACATTAATTGGTATCAGAACTCTAGGTTCATAGGAGTCATAAATCACAAGCCGGTTTATTAGAGTCTCGTTNCTTAGTCCTACTCAATCTGAAATCTTTAGACTCCAGGGTCTTCCTCCATACCTCCAGTCAATAATAATAATAATAATAAAGTAAAATAATTCTTTATGAACTATATATATATATATATATATATATATATATATATATTTTGCTGCATAAATAGAAACTATATATTGAATTTCCACAACAAGGGGTAAAATGTCCGACATTGTTGAGGAATGTGTTGTTCTCTTCATATACATTTGCTTAGAAATATGCTATTGGATAATCCTCATCTCATGATTTATACTTTTGTATTGAGTTAAACAAAAACCATTTTCTTAATATGATATCAAAGTTGCACTTATTCCTGACTCTTGATTTACAATATGTTGAGCACCTGATGTTATATTGTTCAAGATCAAAATATTCGGTCTTTGGTCTTGGGGGGTGGTGGTGGGTGAGTTACGCGCTATTAAGTGCCCCACTTTGATTGAAAATATGAGATGCTATATCCTTATATGATCATGAATAATTCTCACCTTATTTGTATGATTTGTTCCAGAATTTACTGATTGTTAAGAGATCTTTTTCGGTTGTATAAGTAGCAGTTATTTCTGGGGAGAAATTAAAAAATAGCCAGATTTATAAGTGGTCATTTAAAAATAGCCACAGTTTCAAAAGTAATCGAAATTTAGTCACTTTTCATGTAAGATAAATCTGAACGAAAACACTGCTTATAATTCGGAAAATACTCCAGCATAATATACTGGAGTTCCAACATAAGTATACTGGAACTCCAGTATATTATAATGGAGTTCCAGCATATTATAATGTAGTTCCAGTATAAATATATTGGAACTCCAGCATAATATACTGGAGTTCCATTATAATATACCAATCCAATATAATATGCTGGAAATTCATACATAGGTGTTCCAGTCTCCAGTATATTATGCTGGAACTTTCTGCGTGTTGGAGTTCTAGCACAATATACTTGAAGTTCATATATAGGTGCACCGATCTCCAGTATATTATGTTGGACCGGTCCCTGTTGCAGCAAAATAGTGATTATTTTCCAATAAATTTACAAATGCTGGCTATTTTTGAATGACCAGTCCGAAAACTGGCTAGCCCGTGCTATTGGTCTATATTAGGAAGGGCTTGGTCCTAAACGCATGG